CTTTCAAGAAATGATAGCATATTAGTCTTACCAAGGGAAATTTTCCAGACTATAGACATGACTACTTCCACACCACACATCTAATAATTTGGTTCAAAAAAGAGAAGGACATAGCATAGATTTACGTTTTCCAAAATCAAAAACCTCCACAAGATATTTTTTAATCATTGTGGAAATGTCAGTAATTTCATTTAGCTCATTGGTTTTCATCCTGGATATTTCAACACACGCGATAGGCAGAAATGTGAAAAAAGAAGTGTTTCAAATTACTTTATAGCACACCATTAAAATTTGAATAGACACTTGGCTCCCAAACAGGGATGGTTACATTCTTCTTATTCGTCTAAAGGATACTTCAAAATGTGGTTGTCACAATGACTGGTCAAGACTGATATTTAATGTAGGTAGAAGAGAAGTTAAATATAAATAAATGTATTGCAATGTGAAAAACAGTCCCAAACAAGAACTGTCCCATCCAAGATGCCAAAAAATTCCCACTGAGAAACACTGTAAATATGTTATGAAAGAAAAAAAAACTTTTAGAAAACACTGATTTGAGAACTGCAAGCTCAAAAAAGGGGAAATAATTATTTCACATTCCTTATTTCAAAGATAACCACCATAAATTGGCATGCACAAGTATGTGTGCATGTATTTCTTGCTATCTTATCCCTATGTTTATCCATTACATAGTATATTTAAGAACTCTGTACTGTATATGGTAGGTACAAATATACCATTTTACAAATGAACTAAACTGAGGGACAAAGAAGTTTTATAACTTACATTAGAACATACAACTATGAGGTATCACAACACTAAGGTTTATACCCAGAAGGCTGGACTCTAGAGTCCACTGTCTTAAACACTATACAATACTACTTAAATAAAGGAAACACTTGTATTAACAGCTTATGGCTCTATGACAATCAATTAAGACTCATGACTTGAAAAATAGACATTATGATACTTAAAGAATAAAATTATAGTTACTATTTTTCTTATTTAGAACTTTAGGAATAAATGGATTCTTTAGCAATCACTATAGATATTTTCAAACATAAACAAAAGCATGAGCTTTTGTTAGTATGAGCACTGTTACCCATTATTCAGCTTCAAAAATTATCAACATATGGCAAGTTTTGTTTCACTGATGGCTTCTAACCCATTCTCCAACTTTTCAGATTCCACAAATGATTCTGAAGCAAACCCAAAAGACCATGTAATTTTATCTGTAAATGTTTTTAGAATGTCTCTTTAAAATGACACTTTCTAAAGCCATAACTACAGTATAATTATCATATGTAAAATAAGTCAGAAGTCATAATAAATTACCTATTATACTGCACTTACATAAAATTATAAATAATATACAAATACCAGGAAACAATGTGTAGAACAGAAACAGCACAGGCCATTTAGATATAACCTCCATTTGAACAAGACACTTAACATCTCCATTTGCCAATTAGGGAAGATTATAAATAGCACTCACAGGCTTGTTATGGAGGTTAAATAAGGTAATGCATGCAAAGTATCTGGTACAGACAAAATATTCACTAAAACAAAACCTCCTGAAATCAGTAAGGGACTATCACAAGGTTGCAGGATAGACAAAGTATACAAAAAGGAATAGCTCAACTATATAGCAGCAATGAACAAATATCACAGGACCCAATAACACGTTTCCAAAAGAAATGAAAATGCACAGAGACCTATATACAAATGTTTTTAACATGATTCATAGCCAAAAATAACCCAAATGTCCATCAACATGTGAATAAATTATGGTCTATGCATATAACAGAATAGTACTTAATCATAAAGACAACAAACTACCTACTACACACAAACCTGGATGAATCTCAAAATTATCATCTTGAGAAAAAAGGCTTATATAAAAACAACATAGTGTATGATTTCATTCACATTAAAATTTGAAAAAGACAAAATCTATAGTGATAAAAACTAGATCAGTGATTTCCTGCAGCTAGGGACACAGTGTTGAGATCTGACCAGGAAATGCTTATGAAAGTTTTATACATCCTAACTGCAGCCATGGCTACACAGAAATACACTTTTAACAAATTTCTCTGATCATAAACTTCACATGGGAAATATATCATACATAACTGATGGCTATATAAAACTATTTTAATTTCTCAGGGAGAGTTTACTTAAGCTACACCATTGCCAGTAGCTAAAAATAGTGAATTGAACATACTTCTTTACTACAATAACATGAGAGAACAAAATAGTTACAATCCCACTAGTACAAAACTAGGAAGAAGACCCTACCAGTAATGACATACCAACAAAATTATGAAGCTAATGGCACAAAGACAAATGTCAAATGACAAACACAAAAGAAAATAGTAAAACTTAAGCACCAATAGAAAAGAAAACCTATAAGCAGTACCACATTTTATTTTTTTTTCAGAAGATTCAGGACAAAGAGGCATCAATTAATAAAAACAGGGAGAAGTGTGGAATAAAAGCAGAATTGGTTAAAAGTTTATTTAAGGTACAGTCAGCTCTATCAGACTGACAAATTCATCCATTATGTCAATAATTAACACTGCTCTTCAAAAATTCTTAGAAACAAGATGCATGGAAAAATAAGGATCTAGGGAATAAGTGATCCAAAAATTGATAGACAAAGGGATTTCCAAAATAGTAAAATCAGATAAAATAGGTCAGACTGGAGCAGCAAAACAAGGTTCAAGCAGTGACAGTTCAAATAATAAATTGGTACTGATCAATTACTTATTTTATTTATTGAGGAATTTTAGGATTTCATGGAAAGAGGGGAAATGAATGACAAAGGTATGTAGAAAATAAAAGAAAAATCCCAAAACCTTATTAACCATAAAAAAAATAAACAAGACATATATAACAAAGAAATGTAATCATTATATACTATGTCTATATACTCACCAGAGAGAGAGAGAGGGAGAGAGAGAGAGAGAGCCGTGTGTATGTGAGAGAGAGAGAGAGAGAGTGAGCGAGTGAAAGAGGGGGCAGAAGCAATATACACCACACAGCTTTGCTGTGAATATTTACATAGGTATAGTCATGTGAATACTGATTTATGATTTAATCATAAATATAATAAATTGATATTGAGAGAATGTGAAGAAGTAACTGGCTTTAGTGGGTAGCTTAAGAGCATTACATTTATAAGTTTGATATAATAATGGTAATGTCTAAAAGTGAGAAAAGAAATATTTTATAAGGATATTCAACACAAACATACCATTAAAAGCAAAGAAAAGCTAAAAGAACTAAAAGCCATTACCCCTGAGTAGAGTCTGAATAGAACAGAAGATGGTGATAATTTCAAAATAGTCTTAAGGTAATTATTTTAGTCAACCAAAGCACATATATTAAATTTCATAAATTAAAAAATTATTTAGGAAATATGATGACTCAAATAAAAGGACATGGAATATGTTAATACACATTTAAATATGAGAGAAAAATACAGCATTATTATATACAGAGATTACAACTATGTGAGGTACATGCAAGTATGCTACCACGGATCAAAGTAAGAAAATAAGAATTTAATATCTATTTATGTAATGCTATTTGTTTTAAATTTTAAGTAAACCTAATTAACATCACAAAAAGATAAAACTATACCTAAAGTATCTCTAAGTAGATGAAGAGGAAGTATATATTACAACTCATGAGTATTTTTGCCAAAATAAGAACTGAATCAAGCTTCTATATCCAATGTCATTTATAGGACATACTGGAGTCAATGTAAATACATCACAAGGATGCAACCAGCAAAGTTCAGAATATAGTAAATTCTACACAAATAATCTGGTTTCTTCAGCAAATATTCTATATAAAAAAGGAAAGACAAAAAGGAAAACTATAGATTTAAACAGACTTAGGAGACACAGCATCCAAATGCCACATATAACATATACACAGGCCTTCTTGGGATCCTGATTGACCAATGATTTTTTAAAACCACAAGTATGGGGCCTCCCCGGTGGTGCAGCGGTTGAGCGCTGGGTTGCAAAGCTGCCCACGGCCTCTGCGGTGCTGGTTCAATCCCCGGCTGCTCCCCGGCCACCAGAGGAGGGTCCCACATGGCGCGCAGACCTCTCCTGCCGCCCGCTGCTCCCCTCAGCAGTGTACTTCGGTCCTTCTGCCTGTTCTGCTCTCCCCTCTAGCTCTGGTGAATTCTCTCACCCTCCCACGCTTCTGACTGTACCCAGTGCATGTATGAACAAAAAAACAAACAAACAAACAAATAAATAAAAACATGCCTCTCTTAAAAAAAAAAAAAAAAACCTACAAGTATGTGAGGAAAAGCAAGAAATTTTTAATATTAACTAGACATTGGATGGTATTATGGAATTATTGTTAGTAATGGCACCACAGTAATTTTTTTAATAGGGTCTCCTCTTTCCACAATATATGCTTAACTACATATAGATGGAATAATATGATTTGAGACTCCTCAAAAATAATATAAAGGTAAAAGAATAGATCAAATAACACAGGACATGTTGGTAAATGCTTAAGCTAGATAATGGGTACAAAGAGAGTATAATATTCCCACCACCTATATATGTTCTTAAAAACTTACACCAAAAAAAAAGTTTATTAAAATATTGAAGTACTGGGCCTCCCCGGGTGGTGCAGTGGTTGAGTGCTGTGCTGCGAAGCTGCCCACAGCCTGAGCAGCGCCAGTTTGATCCCCAGCCGCCGGCGAGGGTCCCACATGGCGCGCAGACCTCTCCTGCAGCGCCCACTGCTCCCCTCAGCAGTGTATTTCTATAGTCTGCCTGTTCTGCTCCCCACTCTGGCTCTCATGAATTCTCTCACCCTCCTGCGCTTCTGACTGTACCCAGTGCTTGTATAAATAAAATAAATCTTTAAAAAAAATTATTGAAGTACTTATGGATTTAAGTAAAACTTTTAAACATTTTTTTCTACCCTAGATAAAACACAATCACTTTGGTAATCTTTCAAGATTTCTTTATATGAAATGCTTCACAAATTTGCATGTTATCCTTGCACAGTGAACATGCTAACCTTTTCTGTATCGTTCCAATTTTAGTATATGTGCTACTGAAGCAAGGGAAATCCAAAGACAATGTTTAGGCTGCATAAAATATTGCTAGTAAGGAAAAGCACCTGTAAATAGAAATCCACTATGAACATAAAAAAGTCATATATTTAAAAATTATAAAAATCGGTTTACCTCTCTCAATTTCTCTCGCTCCCGCTCCCTTTCAGCAATACGTTTTCGCCTTTCTTCCTCTTCCTTAAGAGCATTTTGTGTTTCTGTTCGTAGTTTATCATCCTTAAGTATCTTTCGAATTTTCTTTCTGCCTTTTCCGGGAGACTTGGAATCATCATTTTCATCTTCTTCCTCCTCTTCCTCCTCCTCATCTTCTTTATCTTCATCAGAATTACTCTATGAAATTAAAACAATCAGAAGTAAATACAACATTGTCTGATTCATCCATTTCATACTCTAATAATTAGTACACAAAAAAGAGGTAGAAGAAAAACACTGACGCTTTTTTTTGAATTGTATTTTGTAATAAAGAAGAGTACTGGGCCTCCCTGGTGGCACAAGGGGTTAAGTCTCAGCACTATGAAACTATCTGCAGCCACTGCAGCATGAGTTTGATCCCCAGCCAGCCAGGGAGGTGACCCACATGGCACAGCAGACCTCTTCTGCCTCGACTGCTGCTCCCCTCAGCAGTGTATTTCAGTAGATCTGCCTATTCTGTTTCCCACTCTGTCTCTGGTGAATCCTCTCAACCCCCACACCTCTGGCCTGCACCCCAGCTCTTGTATGCATAAATAAATAAATCTTTAAAAAAAGGAGAGTATTTAAAAAAAAACACAAAAATGAAGCAAAGAATTGACAAACATTTCTCCGAAGAAGCTATAAAAATGTCCAATATTTTCACTCATATGTGAAAGATAAAGAAACAAAACTCATGAACAAAAACAAAATAAAATTTTAGACTACACGAACAAAACAGTGGCTACTGGGAGGGAAGGGGTAAAAAGGGTCAAGGGTGAAAGGGGTCATTTTTATGATAAAGAATGGAAACTAGACTTTTAGTGAACATAATGTAGCATACACAAATGTTGGCTTATAATGTTGTATACTTGAAAACTAAGTAATGTTACAAACCAATGTTACTTCACCAGTGCTGATAAGGATACAGAAAAATTGGAGGTCTCATGCTTTGGGAAAACAGGATGACAGTTCAAGAAAAAAAAAATAGTTCCTAAACACAGAATTACCATGATCCAGTAATTCAACTTTACAGATTATAACTCAAAGAATTCAAAGCAATAAGTCAAACAAACCTTTGTATAACTATTTTCACAGTAGCATTATTCAAAATAGACAAAGGTGGAAAGAACCCTAATGTGCATTAGTTGTTGAATGGATAAACAATGTGATGCATACATATTAACAGAATATTATCCAGTTTTAAAAGAGAAAGACACTTTGATATCTGGAGAAAATAAGCATTTTCTGACCATACTTTTTTTTTTTGGCTAAATACATTACTAATAAAACTTGCAATTTTAAACCTAGGCAAAATATAAACCAACTACCAACACTAAATAAAGACAGTCAATCAAAAGTTTACAGCAATTTAACCACCTATGACTTAATCTTTCAAGAACATCAGAAATATTTTTTAATTGGTGTGATGAAAGACATGATTTTAAAATAAGTAGATTTAATTGAAAAGGGTTGTGGAATTAATCCGTAGGGTAAGGATGCCTAACAAGCCAAGAAAATCATCTGTTCAAATTAAAAAGAAAAATCAACTGATGGTCAGTAAAAAGAGTGATTCAAAGACTAAATACTATGATCAAAAAGCTGGACAAATTTGAAAATAAAGGGAACAAAAAGAAATTCTGACACATGCACAACATGGATGAACTTTCAGCACATTATGCCAAATAAGTCAGAAACAAAAGGACAAATATTTAATTACTCCATTTATATAAGGAGCCAAAAATTAACCACAGAAAGTAGAATAAAGCTTACAAGGAGCTGGGTTAAGGAGGGGATGAGAGGGAAGGAGAGTTACTGTTTAAAGGGTACACACTTTCCAATTGTAGATGTAATGACTCCCCAAAGAGAATAGTGGTGACAAAATAAAGCAGGTAACAGAACTTATAATTTATATAATCCTGCTTATATATACAAAAATAATTCAGATTACTAGAGGAAATTTATTCACATGAGTTATTCAAAATAATGTTTTATGTCTTAGGAAAATAGAATACTTAACATCAATTCTGTAGCTCCAACAATATAAAATAATGAATTTGAACAGCTTAAAATTTCTATTACATTTAGTTAAGGAACAGGAAAAACATGACAGCATGTTAATGCTTCTACATATTTATACATTGAATAAGTCACCCTTCATATATATGGGAGGGTAACTAAATGAGTAGAATTCAACTATTAAAATGCAGAAGAGGTAATAGCATATTTATTAGTCTACTGTGAAGATCAAGCAAACAGTAAATGTCATTATTACCTTGTTTTCACTGGATGAATCTTCTTGAACCTTAATGCGTCGTCTTTTCTTTTTCTGTTTATAACTCCGCTGATTTTCTTCTAATTCTGCCTTCTTTGCAGACCTAAAGAACATTTAAAATGCAAAATAAAATATTTCATGATGAATTTCCTTAAACTAATTACATACTATTTTAGAAGTGTTTTACCTTTGTATACATTTCTTTAAAAAGATACAGGAAAACAAAAAGATAAAAACTCCCTAGGGTCAAAATGTTTAGGTCATTTTTTGGGGGGGGGGTGAGGCTGAAAAGAATTTATTGAGCTTCTACATGTTGTAAATGGTGGAGTCCCAGGATGTCAATTTCTTTTTTTAATTTTTATTTATATATATTTTACATCATTGTTCATTTTTAAACGTTTGCTTTCTTTTCTCAGGTGTAGTCCCATAGAATTTCCATCATTTCACCTGTACATCATCACCACAGTCCCCTGTGCACCTCCCTCCCTCCTTCAGACTCCTCTCCCTTCCCCTCCCCTGCAGGATGTCTCTGGTTTATAGCTTTCTGTTTTTGTTTTGTATTGTTATTTTTTTACCCCTGATACCTTATTTGGTCCCCCTATATTCCTGCTATAAGTGAAACCATCCGATATTTTTCTTTCTCCTTCTGACTTATTTCACTGAGCATAATCCTTTCTAGCTCCATCCATGTTGCTGTGAATGGCATGAGTTTATTTTTCTTGATTGCTGAGTAATATTCCGTTGTGTATGTATACCACATCTTCTTGAGCCAGTCATCTATTTTTGGGCATTTGGGTTGTTTCCAGGTTTTACCTATTATAAATAGTGCTACAATAAACTTAGGGGTACGGGTATTCTTTTGAATCAATGTTTTTGTGTCCTTTGGGCAAATCCCTAGGAGTGGAATTGCTGGGTCATATGGTAGCTCCATTTTTAGTAGTCTGAGGAACCTCCGCACAACTCTCCATAGTGGCTGGACCATTTTGCACTCCCATGGCAGCAGTGTAGGAGAGTTCCTTTTTCACCACATCCTTGCCAACATTTGTAGTTGCTAGTTTTTTTTTGATATGTGCCATTCTTACTGGTATAAGGTGGTATATCATTGTGGTTTTGATTTGCATTTCCCTGATTATAAGAGTGTTGAACATTTTTTCATATGCTTTTTGGCCACAAAATGGTTAAGTCTTAATTAATCTAGTGATCAACATTTACGTTATCAGAGGGGAAATTGGCAAGTGTGTAGTAAGAAGGATGGAGCCCTTTACATAAATGAACAATATTCATAAAATTATGCACCCATTATTTTTGAAAAAGCAGATTATAAAAGTTGGATACTATTTTCCTCTTATCATGTCACATAATTTTTTGATAATAATTTTGGGGGAGAAGGATATTTCTATAATCAGAAGTTGGTACACAAAGTTACATTAATCAAGAGCATCTCAGGAAATGGTGCCAAGACAACTGGATCTCTACCTGCCAAAAAAACAAAGCTGGCTGGACCCCTATCTTGCACTATACAGAAATCCTAACTGTAAATGGATCAAAGGGCCCTTAAGATAAATGTTATAGCTAACAGATTGCTCACTGTCTTATAGTAAAATGTGAGAATATGGTTATTTTGCTATATTCTGCTAGGGAGAGAAAAAACTGAGTTAGGACAGCTGGAAAAACGTGTATGACAAGTCTTAAAATTGTAAAATTTAAACCCTAAGATGTCACTTCTAAAAAGTTACTTTGGGGCCTCCCCAGTGGCACAGCGGTGGAGCGCTGGGTTGCAAAGCTTCCCACAGCCTCAGCAGCGCCAGTTCAATCCCCGGCCACCAGACAAGAGGCTCACATGGCGCGCAGACCTCTCCTGCCGCCCGCTGCTCCCCTCAGCAGTGTACTTTGTCAGTCTGCCTGCTCTGCTCCCTGCTCTGGCTCTGGTGAATTCTCTCACCCTCCCACGCTTCTGACTATACCAAGTGCTCATATAAATAAATAAATAAATAAATAAATAAATAAATAAATAAATAAATAAATAAATCTTTAAATAAAAAAGTTAGTTTGAACAAATAATCACACAAGTATATGAATACACACATACGTGCAGATATATGTGCATATTAAAAAGTGTAGCAATAAAAATTTATTGTGTCAATATGCAAATATTTTATGACAATAGTATCTACAGTAGAAAATATTAAGAAAAATCTAAAAATACAAAACTAGAAATTTACCTAAATAACATTTCATAAAGGTTCAGAGGGTAGGGGTCAGAGAAAGATCAGTCCTAGATTTAGAGCTAAAATTATAAAACTTACTGAAGAAAACATAGCCATAAATCTTTGTAATGTTGAATTAGGCAATAGATTCTTAAATATGCTAACTGAAAGCACAACCAACCAAAGAAATAGACAGACTGGAGTTCATCAAAATTAAAACCTTAGGTGCATGAATGGATACTGTCAAGAAAATTTAAAGAACCAACAGAGTGGGAGAACATGTTTGCAAATTATACATCTGAAACAGGTCTTGCATCCACCCAAAATATATTATGACAAA